TTCAAAAATCTATTAAGAAAATCCTGATTTTATTATTATGTAATTTATTTATTACTTAAATGTTTATTTATTAAATTAATTAGTCAGACTTATACATCTCTCTCTTTGAAGGGTATTATTTGGGAAATGAAGGAGATTTGAGTTAAGGGATGAGTCATTTTCTTGATGGTTTTTTTTAATAATTTTTTTAGCTTTTCCGTTAGCTATAATATATAGAATACGTAACGTGCTGCTTTAATCATATCGGAGATTTTTTTTTTTTTTTTACCTGCAAAATATATAAAAATTACAGTTTGTTTTGGGTACAGCAATAATATTGTGATTATTGCGAATGTGATTTATATATATACAATAAACAACAAACAAAAATAATATCGCGTGTAACGATATTATTCGATATAAATAATATAATAAAAATAATAATAATAATAATAATAAAAATAATAATAATAATCGATCGTATTGATTAATTAATTAATTTATTAATTTAATTTAATTTAATTTTAATTTAATTAATTTAACGCTTAATACCAACATCCTCTCTCCTTCTTTCAAGTTTGACCGGAATTAATGAACTAATTAATTATTCTCCGCCGATAAATTAATTATTTTTGCGTAAGTTGTCAATGCCGAGTTTAATGAGTTTGTTTTGAAAATCTTAAATCTTTGGAAACTATAATCGCACGTGTATAAAATAGTGATGCAGGGAGTTAGCACATTAATAATAAATTTTGTTTCAAGTAAATTCAAAATTAAAGAAGATTAAAATCACTCGACCAATTACAATTATTATAATTAATTAATTAATTAAATTAGCATTAATTGATAAATGGAGGAAAAATAAAGGAAAAAAGAAACCAAGCAAGAATTCTATCAGTCTGTGATCGACTAATTCACGTAGAATAACTCGTTGTTACCCGCTAAAATGTTTTTTTGTGAAAGAAAATAATAATTAAAAACTGAAACAATAAATTTTAATATTAATAATTAATAAGCGAAAAAATGATTAATAATATTAATAATAATAAGAAACATTAAAAACATTAATTTACTTTTTAAATATATATCCAATTTATTGTTTCAATGATTTTTTTTTTCTTTCTTTAATAG